TTCCCCGGGGTGACGGCAGCCGGCACTTCCTCCGGCGCCTGCTCTGCCCTCGGGGTGGGCCGGAGGGAGCACGGGCCTGTTTACCCCTTCCCTCCCAGCCTTCCGAGAGATGCCTTGGAAGCCGTCAGGGAAACGTCATACTCGGGTTTTCCCCGCTTCACCCGAAAGTGGACCTTCTGCTCTACCGCGACCGACACCTTCCTGTGTTCCCGCACAGCTCGACGTTCAGGGCTGTAAGGGCGCAGATGTGCGGAGGGCTCCATCTGGGAATTGCTGCTCTTCTTCCCTAGCAGTGTTGGCTAAAAGGCTCCGCAGAAATAGCGGCTGGAGTCAGCAGTAGCCTGGAGCCACGTTTCTGGCCTTTGGGATCCCCCTGTGCCAGGCTGTACAGCTGCAACCCACGTGGAGCTGAGGAATTGGGGCGCGTTCCCGGAGCAGATCCAGGCTTGACCCGAAGGGTTGAAGGCATGGAGCGCACGCGGCCTGCCCTGGCAGTTTGGCCATGTTTGGGTTTTAATACACCGGAGTTTGTTGTCCTTTTTGCTTAGGTTACCACTTCCTCAAGACTAGGCGCCGTTTGTGCTGCGTACTCCAATAGATTTGCCGGTGTTGGCGCTCTCTTACCAAACCAAAACCTCCTGGTTTGAAGAGGAAGCGGGGAGGGAGCAGCTTTAGGGGATGATGGAGTGCCAGGACTAGTTGCGCTGAGGCCATGGTTTTCCAAGCCAGCGTGAATGAAAGAACGAGTTTCACCCACCCCTTGGGCTGCTCATTTTCACCCGTGTCAGCACAAGCATTTGAATGCAGAATTAGGCTGGGAAGCTAAACCAAACCCCAAAAAAAAACCAACGCACCAGCATCCATGTCGGCTCCCAAATGTTTTCGCTGGCACAGGAGGGCAGATGAGAGTGCTGCTCTTCTGTAACAATACTGGCCTCTGCTCCTGAAATGAAACCACGTAGTTCTCAGCTGTAGATTTACTTCCTTTTAAAGCTGTTATCAACACTTAGGAGTGTGACTAGTGGCATTTTGACTTCTCTGAAGTCAGGGTTTTTGTTTTGCTGTGAATGCAGCAATGATAACTGCCCTCTATGCCTCATACCACCCTTGTGCTGAAAGCCTCATCTGCCCGGGAGACCATCTCCGGAGCTGGCTCTTGGACACTGTGCCTCTGGGAGAGGCACAGCCCTTCCCCTTCTCCGGGTACCCCCGGTCTAATGCATACTGATAAATCCACGCGGCACACAGCAGCACAAATTCAAAATCCCAGCTCTAGCCCAGAGGCGGGAGAGCCACAGTATTTCCCAGTGTCCAACACAATGTCTTTATTTACCAAGGCAAAACAAACAAACTTCTTGGATAAGTATCAACCCCTGTTGGTTTAGTAGCTGCTGGGTGAAAAGGTGTAGGCTGGCACATCCAAGAACCTAATTAACAATAGCATTTGTTCCTCGGTGTAAGTTGGCCTCTCATGTGATTATGAAGTTGCAGTTTCCTGAGTTAGAGCTGTCTATAAGTCATTGTGATTTTAGAATTTCGGGGCAGCCTCCCAGCACTGTTGTAGTGCAACTCCTTGGTGCCGTGATCTTCCTTAAAAGGATGGGTTTGAGCTGGTCAGAGTGTTTTGTTTATATTGGCATTCATAATGGGGGGGATCAGTCTGATCTTTAACAGATACACTTTAATTGCCTTTACTTTTGGAATCGCTTTTCCTTATTACTAGAATTTGTCATTGCCACCACATTTCTGTTATCCCTTTGATACCCAATTTTACATTAGTGTTGAATCCAGGCATGACTTAGGCCCAAAGGAGTTCAAGGAACCAAGTCCACAACACGTGTATTCTCAGAACAGATTTTAAAAGAACATCACTGAAACTGTTAGATGACTTTGGTTTATGTTGTACTCCATAATACAAATACCACATGATACATACTTTAACAAAGTATCAAAAGTCTTCCTGTTGAAATTCTTAAACCATAAGATACTTGAGTAACACCTGAAAGTCTGAGGAAGATGAAACTGTAACAGACTGGGTGTTTAAGTGCAAGACCTCCCTTGCACCTCTGGAAGGGAACCTCAGAATGAACATTGGACTGGGCTCTGCCCTGGAGTAGTATCTTTTGGCACTGAAACCCTCTTTTATTATTTCAGCGGTAACATAAAGCTGCATTATTATAAATTGGGTAGATATGTGAACGTAAATTTTCTCTGTTTCTAGGCATGCAGTATTTAACCTTTAGCTCAATGTTACACAACCTAAACTGGTCTGGTCTAGTCCTGCAGTCAGTCCTAGAGAAGGTCATTCACTTCTCATCTGTGACAACTGTCCTTGATTTTTCTGGTTTTGATCTAACTTGGAGGTTAGAGGTTTTAAATTACTAAATACTTCTTTTTAAAAGAGATCTACAATAGTCTATTAACGTTGTTACATCCCCTATAGCTGTCTTTGTAAACAACTCCTAGTTATCAGGAGAAGTGTGGCCAGCAGGGCGAGGGAGGGGATTCTCCCCCTCTGCTCTGCTCTTGGGAGCCCCCACCTGGAGTGCTGCATCCAGCTGTGGAGCCCCCAACATCAGAAGGATATAGACTGGTTGGAGCGAGGCCAGAGGAGGCCAAGAAGATGATCAGAGGGCTGGAGCACCTCTGCTATGGGGACAGGCTGAGAGAGTTGGGCTTGTTCAGCCTGGAGAAGAGAAGGCTCCGGGGAGACCTTATAGCCCCTTCCAGTACCTGAAGGGGCTACAAGGCAGCTGGGGGGGACTTTTTCCAAGGGCCTGTAGTGACCGGACAAGGGGTAACGGGTTTAAATTGAAAGTGGGGAGGTTTAGATTGGATATCAGGAAGAAATTCTTGCCGGAGAGGGTGGGGAGGCACTGGGACAGGTTGCCCAGAGAAGCTGTGGATGCCCCATCCCTGGAAGTGTCCAAGGCCAGGCTGGATGAGGCTTGGAGCAACCTGGTCTAGTGGAAGGTGTCCCTGCCCATGGCAGGGGGTTGGAACTGGATGGGCTTTAAGGTCCCTTCCAACCCAAACCATTCTGTGATTCTGTGGGTTTAATGTTAGAAGCAGCCTGTGTACAACACCTTTAACAGTTAAGAGTCTCTGTGACTTGGTTCCCAGGCACTGCTGACAGTCTGTGATAAATGGAAGCCACCCGCTTTACTGCCTAAGCTTCAACTGCAAAGGCTTGTTCCTTAGGGAGCAGTTTGACAGGACACTGCATGCTAATCTGCTACCTTCTTTCACTGGGTAAATATCACAAATCCTTCCTGCAGCATCAGCCACCTTATGCCTACAAGCTGCTTCTTCAGTAACTGGCAGAACTCTACTGATAACCAAAGCTTCTGCGTTGAGCGTCTTCTCTCGTTTGGCTCTGCGTGATTACTGTTTGCCTGTCCTGGCGGGAGCCTGGTGGCATCTCAGACGATTCCCCCTGCTGCGGCAGGATGCATGCCTACATCTCTGTGCAAGCAGACCGTCAGCAAAAACTGCAGTTACGTGCCTGGGTATTGCTGGCAGAGAGCCGTTAAAGTTACTTCTCTCCCCTCGCATCTACCCAGAGAGGTAAAACTACTCTGGTTTTGGTCCCGTGGGACCAAGCTGGCAGGACCGCAAGTGTAAACTTATATTTGCAATGAAAATCACAGCTGAAAGCGTACAAGTCATTGAAATTCCTTTGTTCCCTGAACAGACCGCCAGAACAGATCCCACCCACAACTGCAGGCTTTACGGTGGCAGGTTAACGCTGTGTAGTGGGGAAAACCGGGTAAAACTGGCCTCTCTCTACCCCATTGGAGACACCTGAGTCAGGGGCGGAATCGGAACAAAACCAAAAAATCACACCTGCCTGTCTTGCAAGAGTAATCACAAGAGCAGAGTCTAGTTCAGAGGTAACAAGATAACACAGCTGAAGTTCCAGCCAAGGCCACTGTGAACTCGTGGCAGCACGGAGGTGTTTGTTTCAGAGTGGAGGATAAATACCCTTTTTGCTTGTTTGTTTTGTTTTTGCAGAGCTTACGCAGACCTTTCCAAAATGATATCTTCAGGTGACTATGGGTCTCACTCCTGGGAGCTCTTGGTGATAGTTGATCATCAGCTTGAAGATGTACAAAAGGAATATTTACTACGGGTCACGGGGGACCTTCATGTTGGAGGAGTGATGCTGAAATTAGTAGAGCAAATCAGTGAGTAAAGACCTGTTTAATTTACACAATGTTATTAAATTCATACGTGCCGCTTTCCCTCTAGAAAAGAGGCTCCTGCGCATTTTGAAATGGCACTGCCTTGCTTACTTCTCTACAGAGACGTGCGCCGAGCATGTGGGTGCTGCAGCTCAGGGCTCTGTGTGGGCAGCACCCCCCATCTGTGACTACAGCCCCTGTCACAGTGCAAGGCTTGACTTTGGTTTCCCATTTGACAAATATCCAGTGCCTGAAGGGGCTACAAGGAAGCTGGGGGGGACTTTTTACAAGGGTCTGTAGTGACAGGACAAGGGGTAATGGGTTTAAATTGAAAGTGGGGAGGTTTAGATTGGATATCAGGAAGAAATTCTTCCCAGAGCGGGTGGTGAGGCACTGGGACAGGTTGCCCAGAGAAGCTGTGGATGCCCCATCCCTGGAAGTGTTCAAGGCCAGGCTGGATGAGGCTTGGAGCAACCTGGTCTAGTGGAAGGTGCCCCTGCCCATGGCAGGGGGTTGGAACTGGATGGGCTTTAAGGTCCCTTCCAACCCAAACCGTTCTATGATTCATTCCATGAAATAGAATTGGACTAGACTTCAACTCCCTTTCCAGATAGGCATTATAGGTGGCTAGTCTGAGGGGCAATAAAGGTAGCTGGTACCCTATCTATCCACCTGTAGCAGTCCAAGAGACAGGATTAGTTGTTACAAGGCACTTCAGAAGCTCCTGTGGCCTGTGCTATGGTGGCATTCTGGCCAAACTCTGAGCCACATTATCCATTGTGTGTATCCAGTAGGGAGCAGCTGTGAAAAGCAGAGGCTGGCCGACTCAGGGTCAGGAGATGAAAGGTAAAAACAGTGTGTACAGTCACAGCAAGTCAGTGCTACAAGCAATACCAGAATCCAGGTTTCTTTAACTCAAATGGAGCAGCCTCCCAAAATAATCATCTGCACTCTGAAGCTGCAGAATGACAGATACAGACAAGGTATTTGATAATTACGTCAATGCCACAGGGTTTTCGTATGCAACTTGTTCTTCAAATGTTATTCTTTTTCCTGGAATTCTTAAATCTAGAAGTCTTAGTCACCAACTTCCCACAGAGAGGAGCCTGTCTGCCAGATCAGACTCGCCAAGTGGGAACACCGTGAGCTTTGCATTTCTATCCCTTGCTCTAGAAACACGAGATTTGAGGCAACAAAAAACCAAAACAAATTAAAACCCCCCTCCTTGAAACTTTAGTCTTTTTTACATAGCTTGACTTCAGACAAATGAGAAAAACTGAGCTGTAACAAAACCCTGCAGCACAGTACCATCAACAAATCTAAAATTGGCAATTTAATAATGTCAGAGTTCACTGTCAAGTGAAAGGTTTTGTTTTCCAGTGCAGGTTTTGAAGGAAACAAAAGGGAGATGCACAAGGTGTTCTTTCCAAAAGGCTCCTGTTCTGTAGGATGTTTTTACACGAACAGCCTTTGCAATGGAAAAGCTCTACTTGGAGATAGTGATCTTATCAAGGATTCTCTTTTCTAGCATTAAAGCAGGTAGCAAATCTGATGCATTTCTACCAACCTCTGCATTCTTACACCTGTAACTCCGCCATCAAACCAATGGTAGCCCGAGTGCTCACTGGGTCAGAAGACTCATTTTTCACAGTATTTTTATAACTAGTACTCAACTAGTGTGAAAAGCTTTCTATATTAATAATACCTAAAGCAAATCTGTAATGAAATGATTGGTGTCAGTGGCTCTCTTGAGACATAAGAAGCTCCAAAGTAGGATGGGGCTTTACCATGTTGTAGACGCGCTGAGGAATAGCCTCTGTCTGGTGGAGCTGATGAGCAAGAATGAGAAATGATGCAGAAGACTGAAACAACTTGGCCAAGACCACACAGAAACTTTACTACTACTACTACACATGGTTGGCTTCTGGGAAGCCATCTAATTTTGGAATTCCCCATGGAACTGAGAGCAGCAATGCTTTCTCTTTCCTTATGCATGTGCTTCTCATGCCGATCTAGTCAAGGTTTTGCCACCTTTCAGGTCAGGATAGCTTCCTGCTCAAGAGTAATCAGAGGAAAGCTGCTGTTCTCCGCCTCCAAAACTCTTAATGTAAGTCGTGAACAGTCTTCTATCTGTTCTTGTTTCAGCAAGCCTTACTTTATCTGTATGTTTTCAAAGTAGAAAATGCACAAAGATTTTTACTTAAGCCGAACACAAGCAAGTCCCTATTAGTGAAACAAGACAGTTACCTCTTGGCAGGCCTGTCTTGTCTGGGAGGGTTTCGTAGGCAAACCCTGTCAGTCCTTGGTCAGTCCCAGCAATCCCTGCCCTCCTGCTCAGACCAATACAAGATTTAACTGTACCATATCGCATCGTGCCCATCCTACCTCCCTTACATGTTTCTACTTCTCTTACAAGTTTCTGCATCCTGTGCGGTGGAGAAGGTCATCTTATTTGCTGGAGAGCTGCTTAACGCCTTCCTGGTTGTCACTGGGCTTGCTCCCAAAATAATGACTCTTTTCCTTGGTTATGTAAAGAATGTTGCCACTCTGCAGTTGTCCTAAGTGGGCTGCACTCGGGTGAACATCCCTGTTTCTCTAACTGTGCAGCCACAGAGAAGAGCTGAGAACAGCCCTCAGCTGTGTGTTACCAGGACTTCAGGGGACTCATCGCTGGTTCTTACCGCTATAGCGATGAGCTGTTCAGCGGTGCTTCCCAGGAGAGTGTGGAAGAACTTGTGCCCACCTGGATGCACACAGGGTTTGGCGGGAGGATTTTCAGCTTGCCCTATCAAGTTGAGAAGTGGGTACCCGTGTTACTAGTCCGTATGGCAGCACAATGTAAGCAGCACTGGACTGTGTGTAGCACCAGATTCGGGAGATGCGCTCTCCCTGTGCGTACCTGCAAGATAAAGGCAGTGCCACCGTCAGCATCTAGGTGAACTCTTCAGGGAAAACAAAGTGAGCTCCCAGTGACTGCCACAAGTATTCTGCACGTGGGGACTAGGCCGTGGGAACTGTAGTTGCTGCTTTAACGCAAATAAACTCTCCCGTTTGCAGAGCACCATTTCCAAACTAAGCGTTTTTTGTGTATTTGCTCCATAGTTTATTAATAACTGTTTTGTGATTTCATAGAAATACCACAAGATTGGTCAGACTATGCGCTTTGGTGGGAGCAAAAAAAATCTTGGCTTCTGAAAACCCACTGGACACTCGATAAATGCGGCGTGCAGGCAGATGCTAAGCTGTTCTTCACTACTCAGCACAAAATGCTGCGGCTCCGCTTGCCAAACATGAAGACTGTGAGACTGAAAGTCAGCTTCTCTTCTATGGTATTCAAAGCTGTCAGTGACATCTGCAAAATTCTCAGTAAGTAAAGCTCTGGCAACTAAGTTGGAGTGTTTTATTAGGTGGCTTTGTTTTGTCGTGAAGTCCTTACAAAAGTGTTCAGCTCAAGGAGAAGTTTGATTGAGTTGACCCAAGATCAAGAGACAGATTTTTTGGGGTTTTAGTATCCAGTGCATGTCAGTGGTTCTCAGTCTTTGTGATAACTGATGCAAACAGTGTCAGGGATGTGTCCCATGAGCTGCAGGAGTACTGGATAGTCAGTCCTGTTGATGGTTTTGTTGGGATCACCATAGACTAAGTGCGTATCGGCCTCCTACACCAGCCTTCACCATAGGTGATTTTACTGGTGCCAACTGATTTATCACCTATTTTCACTAGGATGAATGATATTCAGCTTGGCCTATTAGTTTTACGTATTCACTTCCGGAGGAGCGTGTTTTAAATGTTTAAACTTTCGTATGCCCAAACCAATCCAGGTCAAGGCATACCTAACCCCCCCACACGTGCCCAAGAATGTGCTGCAGCCCTCAGTCCCCAGGTCTCCACTCTTCCCACTAATGGGGTGCCTCCAAGTAGAGGTGAGGGTTTGGAGCGTGCCAGACCTGTGTGCCTGTGATCAACAGGAGTAAGTTGAGCCTGCAAAGAATCTTCAGAATCCCCTAGTTTTAGGGTAAAATGGGGATTAATATCCTCATTTTAATTTAGACCTTCAAAGCTTAGCCCATTAACACCTTCACTTCAGAAGGAATTTACCGCCTCATCTTGACCACAGGGCAGCTTCCAATTTCGTCTTCCAGCACTGGATTGTGACAGGTATAGTACATCTTCATTATACTCAACAGCTCTGATAAAATGATGCCATAATTGTTCAACTGACGTTTGGCTGAATTAAGTATTTCTACCCTCATTTTTCTTCCAGACTGAGTCAGTACAGGAACCCTGTAGCTTTTCTCATGAGTGAATACTGTCAAAAATGTCTTTGCTTACCCCAGGATAAAGGTGGTTTTCAGAAACAAAGAGCCAGGTTTGCAACTGTCAAATCAGCAGTTCATTAGGGAACAGCGCGTAGCCGAGACAGTCTTGGACGTGAAACACAGTGTATAGCAAGAGGCACGGACTTCAAACACAGTGGTTCCCTTTCTGTTCTTGCTTGTGAGTCAGACATTTCCTTGAGGTTACTATGCTCAGAGACGACTGCAGAGCCATTAGAGAGCAAGAGCTTTTCGCTGGTGTGCTAAAATGCAGTTAGGCTTGTTACAAAAGCAAGCTTAAATCCTGTCAAAAGCCACTCTCACAGCCCACTTCTTTGGTTTTGTTACTGAATTACTGGATTTTCCATGGCTACTGCTTTCAACCTGCCAAAAATAAAATTCAGATTGCAACATGGAGCTTCCCCAAATGCTGTTATCAACCCTGGGCTTTTTTTGGATGTAATATGCTAGGTTTCAAATGTTTCATAATGCTTCACTTCCCAAATTGCCATTGTAGATATTAGACGGTCAGAAGAACTCTCGTTGTTGAAGCAATCAGAAGATGCACTCAAAAAGAAAAAGAAAAAGGACAAGAACAGCAAAGAACCAGTTACAGAAGATATTTTAAACCTGTGCAACTCTCCAGTGAGTTCTGGATTATCAGGTAATGAAAAATCAACATGATTTTATTCTTCTGACTGGAAGTCAGAAAGAGGAAAAAATTCTTACCAGGGGGACCAGTTTAATGTAGGCTGGTAGTCAGAGAGACACGGTTGGCCTGAAATTAGTGTCTTCAAGAAGTCACTGAAATCTCCAACATATCAATATTTTTCTGTTGTCTTTTAAAATGTTTTCCTCTGCACTGATACGAGAAAGGCCATACCAGAGAACAGTTGATCAGTTGTGGCCCTACACACAGGATGTGCTGCCGCTCTTCGAAAATGTGAGACCACTCTTAAAATATTCAAGAAGTTTGGCAACCTGCAAGGAAAATGAGCAGTAAAGGCTTGAAAGTATGTGTTACCCGTCTCCAACACAGCTGAGATCTCTCACAGAACAAGAGCGAGCACTTCTGCCCCTGAGGTCACTTCCCCTGGGAAAGGACAAGGCCTGCTGTGACCAGCAGATAGGAGACTGTCTTGAGAGCAAATAGGCTTTTACGATGGAAAGTGATAGACTACCAAAGTCTGAAGGCAGTTTTCCTGGAAATAATGCGTTACTCTCAACTTGCAGGAAGTCCAGGTTTATATAGTAAAACCATGACACCCACGTATGATCCCCTCAGCGGGACACCAGCTTCTTCCACGATTACTTGGTTCAGCGACAGTCCCTTGACTGAGCAGAACTGCAGCATCCTCGCCTTCAGTCATCCCAGCTGCTCCCCAGAAACACTAGCAGAGATGTACCAGCCCCGGACCTTAGCTGACAAAGCCAAACTCAACGCGGGGTAAGACCTGAGCTCTTTGTTAGCTGGCTTGATGAGGGTAGCGTTCATCCCGCTTTTCAAGCGTAAAGCACAATTTGAAATCAAACAGCCCCTGATACATGGCTGTATCGATCCGTAAAAACGTGCCTTGAGCTAGGTTTTGGTTCAGAAGTACTTACTCTTTGAAATCTTTTTTCTTTATTCAACACTCTTGGTTGGGCAGTTTTGTTTTAAAGTGACGAAGGATGTCATCGTGCAGGCCCTGGACTAAATTCCGTTGTGAGGTGAAGGCAGATCCAGCGTAGCGCTGTGGGCAGAGCTGCAGGACAGTCTGGATAGCAAACTCCAAAGGCTTTAAACAGACGGTGGAAGTACATGCATGGATCAATTCAATAAAGCTCGAATGCACTACGTGTGGGTGACTCAAGCAGCAGCAAACACAGCGTGCTGTGCGCCACAGGGGAGTACAGCGCACGTGGGGGTTCCTGGTGCAGGTGGCCGAGAGGACTGTCCCTCTGGCATCAAAATATGGATTGTCATTTTTAGATCTGTGGAGCACTTAACAGTGACTTTGAAATCCTCAATGGATTTCACTGGAGAACAGAAGTAGCTAGAAGCATAAAACAGCAAATACTGAAATGAAAAGGGGGAGTTCTAAAATACTACAGGCACTTTTGCCCTGGCCTAAATGAACCTCCCGTTTCTGGAGGTCAGGAAGAAAGAACCTTGTTGGCGTAGGTCACCCCACAACTAGTTACTGCTCAGTTGCTGCCACCCGCTCCTGATGTTTTGAATAGTGCTGGGGAAACAGTTAGGAAGATTGTAGGTATTGTGTTTATGCAGTGAAAGTTGGAAACCCATATGAAAGTTCCACCTCCTCGAGTTATATAAGCTGTATAAATGTATTTATATAAACAAATTATATAAATCCTGGTGAATTTTCCTCAGACTTGCAGGAATAAGAGCTGTTTGTTCCCACTTTTGTTTCCCAACTACGCTGGGGCTCTGCAGGTGTGACAGTTTTTCCTGTACAGATGAATCTCTGGGTTGTTTTCTTCCGCAGCTGGCTAGATTCATCTCGATCCCTGATGGAACAAGGCATTCTGGAGGACGATCAACTTCTTTTGCGCTTTAAATATTACACTTTCTTTGATTTGAATCCAAAAGTAAGAGCTTTGTTTTTATTCCTATTCATTGTTTGCCTGCTTTCATGTCAAGGAGCTGTAGCACAAGGGTCCCAGATCTTAGCTAGGATTTGTTACAGGCCCTTCAGAGATCAAATTCGACTTCTTCCCCTAAGCTAAGGCTGCACTTTTCCCCTCTGGACACTGAATCACCACCGTTCCTCACCTGAAATAAGATCTTAAGTACAAAGATGAGATCTGAAGAGCACCAGAAGCTCTATCCAGATTTCCAGAGGGGCTGGTTTACTTTCCGCCTCTGTCTTAACAAGAAAAATTAAAGGGAAAGCTAAACCTAAATGATGTAAAGGTACAAGCCCTATTTTTGAAAATGGACTTGAAAATGACATTTATGTTCTGCTGCCTTTCGCTGAATATTCAGCCTTTCTGGGCTGAAGCTCTCGGAAGCACTCGGGCGCTTAAATTTGTTGCAATGTGACTGGGTGATTAAATACCTTTGGAAAGTTCAGCAAAAGTGTTTTAAGTCCCATTTGAAAACAAACCTTGGTCTTCAAAAATCATTTCAGGGTTTTTCTCAGGGTTCCTCTTATTTGCCTTTATTTCCACTAAAAGACGGTCACGGTGGTTGTGTTAAGCCAGTGCTTTTAGGGCTTGAGTGACACTCTAGTGAAATTAAGGCACAGTCATTAAACAGTGTAAATCAACAAGAGTTCAAATGTGAATTTTAGAGGATTTGGCCTACACATTGTTATTTTCTGTGAATTCTGTAAAACTCTCTCATTTCAGGCACCTCAGATAAGCAGAAGGGCCCTTTCTCGTTCAGGTGGCATGGTTTCGGGGTGAAATGCCATCCCCACTAAAACTGAAGTAGCAGCCCCAACGTTCCTTCTTTGCCCCCGCCAGCCATGCAGCCATAGGAGGAAATAACCCAAAACAGCTGCAAGCAACTTAATAGCTCACCACATCGGGGAGAGCTCACCCTCCAGGGTTTACCCTCCCACCACCTACGTCTCACCAGCTCTGGGGCTTGACTCTTTCCGTGAGTCACTGCAGCTTAGTAACCAAGTAGGTAGTAAGAAACGATCGCTATCCAAAAAGAGGATAGTGAATTAAAGCAGTTCGCAGACGGATGTGACGAATGTCGGGCCAGTGCAAAAATAGAGCCAGAACCGAAAAAAGCCAAAAGCAGCAGAGGGGAAGTGAGGAGTTAGTCTCTGTCTTTCGGCTGCAGCAAGCTGTTGAATGTCACGTTCATATCAGCCACGTCACGTTCTTTTCGCTCTCATGGTGTGGTTTCCCATTTCGGTTAAGCCAGCCTAAGGCCTGCTACCACAAAAGGGGACGTCCTAAACTCCCCTTCTGCTGCAGCCAGCGACTGCTGCTTAATTTTCTGTTGGGTCAGCCTACACATCATCACACGAGCTTGTGCAAGAGCAGGACAGGAACATACAGCCGGGCAGAGGTGGGGGAGGAAGGAAACCTTCGTGGCTTCAGCCCAGTGTTAGATCAGCTGAGCCTGAGTCTGTACCTCGATGGTCATTAATGAACAACGTCGTTCTTTCCTGCCACAGTACGATGCAGTGCGGATAAACCAAATATATGAGCAAGCCCGCTGGGCCATCCTCTTAGAAGAAATTGACTGCACGGAGGAAGAAATGCTGATCTTCGCTGCACTACAGGCACGTACTCGGTCCAAGTTGCAAAACCCGTTTGCTCAAGGGGGAGGCACAAGCTGGGACAAGATGAGGGTAGAGCCCAGGCCAATAGCTCTGCTGGGATTGGGGGTCTGCCATTTGAGTGAGAAACAATAAGCAGCATCCATCAGCTAAACCAACTAGATTCCCTAGCAGCACACCGTTATGCAAACTGACACCTACGATTAGGGACCGGTTTACTAACATCACCTAAAGCAAACCCTCCCCAGGATGTAACTTTGATACCAGTCTGTTCTGAAGGGACTACTAGGAAGTGGTGCTTCCCATTCCAGCTACCATCCTTTCGCATATCCTTCCTGAAGATTGCTCCAGTGCACAAACACGTCCGTTCACAACAGACGGAAAAAAAGCTGTAGCACAGTGTGAAGGCAGGGATGCTGTGGCATCCGTGGAAATTTAGCACGACCTAGCCTGGCTTGGTCCCTACAACAGACAGAAAAAAGCACAATGTGAAGGCAGGGATGCTGTGGCATCCGTGGAAATTTAGCACGACCTAGCCTGGCTTGGTCCCTGACTGTAGGTAATAAGGCACAAATTAATAATTAATGCCTTCCTTTTAAATGTAAATGGAGCTGCCCAAAATTCCCAGCCTGCCGCGGCGCAACACCTCAGAACCTTGCTGGCAGGTTTCCGCCTGGTGCGGCTAGCACTTGGAGCTGACAGTGCTAGGGAAGCCAATGTTAGCACTGAGTCAGCTTCCCAGAACAGGGACAATTGCTTTTAAGGAAGGAATAAATACAAACGTGGCAATTAAAATAGGAAACTGTTCCCAGTAATTGCACCTGTAATTGCTTCCTTGTGAAAGACCCAGAAGACCAAACGGGCTATTTTCATACGCTGTGATTGTCTGTAGCTAATTGATAGACTGATTGTTTGACACTGATGTTTTATTTTAGTATCATGTGAGCAAGTTATCGTTATCCTCAGAGGCGCAAGATTTCACGTCTGAATCGGAAGTAGATGAAGTAGAAGCTGCACTTTCTAATCTGGAAGTGACGCTGGAAGGTGGAAACACAAGTAACATTCTGGTACGTCCTTGCGGATCGCAGAGTTGTGTTCATGGTGTCAGGTGCTTTGACTGACGAGCCTACCTGGTTCCTGGTTTTTTAACGGTTAACAGGGGATTACGAAGCGCATTGTACTAAAATTATTCCTAATTATTCCTGATAGGAGGACATCACAGACATCCCGAAACTTGCTGATAATCTCAGGCTAGTTAGGTGAGTTATTAAACTAATAATAAAACATCTAAACCAAAAAGCTTAACCATGCGAGAGATCTCTTGAGATTTTCATTCTGAACGACTGGCAGATCCTACGGTCATAAAGTCACAAATATACTTGATAGCGCTAACGAGCCTAATGTCATCCTCTTCAAGAAATCTTTCTCTTACTGCTTCTGAGCAAGATTCTCAGCAAACCTTTCTGCTCTTGGGGTGCTGGGGTCGCTGTGCTTACGCTTATTAAAAGAGCAAGCTCTCTGTATTTCCTAGATCAGTCTATCTCTAAACAAAAGAGTCTACAGTTTTGGTTTCAATCACACTTTACTGGGTTTTGCCAATGCAAAAGGAGAAAACACTTCCAGCTCTCCCTGAGAAGAATTTCTGAAAGCAACCCTGGGGACTGACTTATTTTTTGAAACAAAAGAAACAAACAAATTACCCCTTTCTAACCTCTCATGGAGTCTGGTGTTCCCTAACGTAAAATGAGGTTCTGTGAGCCCACTGCAACGGCTGGATTTGTGGGTTGGTTAAAGGACTGCAGTGACCTCAAGTCTGTAATGCCTTTTATCACAAAACAGTCTTTGTGTTTTAGAAAGATAAAGATTTCTAATGCACAAATATCTATCAGATTCCTTCTGTTGACAAAGCGTATTTGTAGTCGGTGAACTGAAACTGCACCTTAAAATTTTTAACTGTTAAGAATTATTCATTGCCAATTAGGAATTCCGTTTGACATTCAAATTCCTGAGGTGGCTTAAGATGAAAGGGAGTTTAAGGCCTTTAAGTTCTGTCAGTTACTCACCTCTAACAATGGATTGTTTATTTTTCCCCAGCAGTAGAGCAGTTTCCTTTTAAAAGCATTCAGGGCTTATTTTTCATCATGAAAAATTTCCTGTCTGCGTGACAACTCACTCACTAAACCTAAGACTGTAGTGGAAGGTAGGTGAGGTGTGAAACATTTCCTTAAAGGAGCAGCAACATTTCCTTACTATGTGTTTAACCGTGAACCCGAATGCAAAGCTCTGCGTGTCACGCTGCTGCCTGTTCATAGCGAGCTTTTACTCACACTTGTCCCCAGCACACACCGCGACAGCACAGCAGTAAATCCTACCATCAGGTGGGTGACAGTCTTGCGGGGAATTGTAGTGGGTTTTGTCAACAACAACAAGCTTTCAAAAAAGTATGCAGCAACTTTTTTTTTTTTTGGACAGAAAAGTAATTTTGTTAGTCTGTAAAAATTGCAGTCCCTTATTTTTTAAAGAATGTCACCGTATTGGAAAATTAAAAGCAAAAATATTTGGCAGTTTTAAAAATCCAAGTTATTTTTAAAATTTAAACATAAAAACAGCCATTTTCTAGGAAGGATTGTAAACTCAGACTTCTGGACAGGCTCTGGAGAAGGCAAGAGTAGGTATAATGATCACTGTTTTCCAGCTAGCTGTATACTCTTCGTACCATCATCACAGGTCTGAAGGAAAGTACTAAATAAACAGTGGGTTTTTTTCTTTTTCTTCTTTTTAACTTCACTGTTGACCTTTGTAGCTAGTTGTGACATATTTCTCTACCAAAGTAGTGCTAATACCTCTGGTTTTGTCTCCTGAAATATATTGAATCTGGGATTTTATTTCCCTGCCCTGTGGCTTTGTTAGTGTAGTCTTAGTTGGATCAATTAAGATTTTTTTCCTCCTACTGAAGAGAGGTGGGGCTGGCACAATGGTTACGTTTGACCATTAGTAGCTATCAGTTAATGCTCCATTCCAAAGCAGATACTTTACAATTTACTCTACGAAAGAAATCAGTCTGCACTAGCGTAGTATGAAATTAAGTAAAATAATTAAAATGAGGATTATACCCATCTATATACACGTGTGATGAGATGGAGTAACACTGCCCTGATGGAAGAAGATGGTTTAAACTATTACCTTTCCTTGGAGTGCTACAGAACCTCTATAAACTTAGTGAAGGAGTAGAATTTTGTTGTGTTACACGCTCTTCAGATAAAGCCAAAAAGGTGGTCTCCCTTACACTTCAGTGAACACAAGTTGGTTTTCTGGGGGCAAATCTTCTAGTTGAGGAGCTGTGAAAAACTGAAGCTCATCCTGGTGCATGTGAACGAGCGTGGGTTACATTCACATTACTGAGCTCATGTAAAACCCCAAATTATCCTGTTAGAAGGGAATGGCTTTGATTAGGAATGGAAGGGGGGAAAAAAATGAGAAAAAACACATAGAAGAGAAAGAAAAAAACGCCGAGACGAAGCCATAGATGGGATCAGGTATATAATCTGGGGTAAAAACCACGTCCGTACCCAGGATCGGGTGGGTGTGGTGTGGGTTCCAGGGCTTGCCACCCCCTGAGAGGAAGCCATAGATAGGATCAGGTATGATCTGGGGTAAAAACCATGTCCGTACCCAGGATCGGGTGGGTGCGGTGTGGGTTCCAGGGCTTGCCACCCCCCTCGTTGACACAGGTACGGGTAACCCCATGTGAATGACCTCAGAGCAGCGTGAGATGCACAGTAGTGTTTGTGAGTGACTTAGCCATTGGATGTTTCCATATAAACAAACATCGTTTCTGGGTTTTTTTCTAGGCCCAGGAAGCTGGCGCTCAGAGCAATCAAGCCGTATTGGTTTGTCTTTAAAGACACGTCAGTATCTTATTTTAAAAACCAGGAATGCGCACAGGGAGAACCTATTGAAAAACTAAACCTGAAAGGTAGGAGTTTTTCTCTCTTCTTTTTCTGTTGCACTCGTGAACTGAAGAAATGCCTGGAAGGCCCAGGAAGGCGAGCACGGTAGCCTGCAGCCGTGGGACTTCAGTTACTGAGACTGCTAAGCAGGCAGGCCAGACTGCACCTGCAAAGAGGCCTAACCAAAACCGATTCAGTGATTTAGCCTGAACCAAGATTACCTGGACCTGGCTTGTCAGATGCCACGTACTGCTGAATCCACTGAAAGATGGGTCAGATCGAGACTGCGATCCCTACCACACTTCGATTCCCAGTATTTTTACTGTGTGTGAAGTGGCACTACTCACCTCTGTCCTTGGCCAGTGCACACTGGTAGCAGAGGGTTAGGGATGATGCAGTGGATGAGAATGCCATGGGTTGCACATGCCCCAGGACCTTCTCTGGGCCGTGGTTGTTACGCATGGGGGTTCCCATAGCTGCCACCTGCTGTAGGTACTTCTGGAGGAGAAGCCCCAGCTGTACGCACGGCAAACCCCAGCACCATATATAGCCTCCATCTACATCTACTCCTGCAGGGACATCCTTTGTTCAGCGTCAGGGAACCAGTGATGCCCAGGATGCATCCTAGAAGGAGCCTTTGAAATAGAAAGAACCCTCTGACAAATGGCTCCGCACACCAATCTGCACATCCTCAGTAGGTCAGATACCCGCATGGTAAAACCAGCCAGGGTGGCTGCAACCTCACCAAGTGGCCCGCAGCCTTGGTGTCCCTTGACACACAGGGGAACTGCAGGCGTCCTCGACTCCAGCTGAACCCAGGAGGCCCGTAATGGCACCATCAGCGTGAAATACCAGGTCCCCAGAGTTCTCTGGGATCCCTGAACTGGCTAGCGCTGTGGTGGATGTCACCTACGTCCCGTTGTCAGTACTGAGCCGCTTCTGAAAATACAGTCCAGGCTTTCAAGACGCATAGGGTAAAATTTCCAAAAATGCCTATTTCATCAGATCCTCTCCAGTTTAGGTGTAGAGCATTTCCTAAGATCAGGCAGAGTTTCTGAGAGCACTTGCGTCCTGTCTCTTCCACACTGACTGACATGCTCTTTGAGCTCAGAGCATTCATCACCCTGGCGATCCAGACCAGGCAGTGAACAGAAACCTTCCATTAGACCTAAACTTTGAAAGTCTCAAAGAAAAACAACCCTTAAGCACTGTTCTTTAGTATTAATCAGTACTCAGTGATGGAGTCATGAAATGAATTCATTTCTTTCTGATTTCTGTGATCTAGGATGTGAAGTTGTACCAGATGTAAATGTTGCAGCAAAGAAGTTTGGAATCAAATTACTAATTCCTGTTGCTGATGGCATGAATGAAGTATATTTGAGATGTGATAACGTGAGTAATAAGACAAGGGAAGGTTTGTATTCCAGACTGATTGTTGTCAGATTGTCTAGAAGACCCACTGCCCTCTTGTAGAATTTGTATAGAAAAAATAAGGATGCTGCAGAGAGTTTATTATCTACAGTAAAATTTAAGAATGATGTGGTGCTCTGACTTTGTGGTTGAGGAGACAAAAGGACAGTAATTCTGTGTTTATCATCAGTTTCCAAGTAAAGCTGCTTCAATGAAATAAAAGAACAAACTATCCAAAAAGTCAAAAGCCATTACAATATTTTATCCCAGTGTTTTCAGACGACTGGGGTTTGGGTTTTGTTCTCTTCTTTTCCCCTAATTAGAACTCTTCCCATTCAGATGAGGGTAGTGTGATAAGAGCCCTATGTTAGCTTTCCATTTCAATTTATTTCATTTGCATTGAGATGTATCAGTCCAAATTTTGTAAAAATGTTCATTAGGTGGAAAAAAGTCATCCAATAAAGTTTCCAAGACAATCTATTCCAAAGTACTGGGTTTCTTTGAAAACCTAAAACCTAACTATTCTGCAGAGGCAGTCCCAGGGTGGAACTAGCCCAATCAGGGAAGACCAACAGTGCTGTGATAACTGTGTATCCACACAAATTCAGCGGAATACCTCCGGAGCGGTTTTATGGCACAGTGAAAGACGCCTGAGCAGTAGCCACCTTCATAAACGGTTTGTCCAGAGGTACCAAACGATTGTCTCTGTTGCAGGAGAATCAGTACGCTCAGTGGATGGCTGCTTGTGTTTTGGCCTCAAAAGGCAAAACAATGGCCGATAGCTCTTACCATCCCGAGGTCAACAAGATCCTTTCGTTTCTAAAGATGAAGAACTGGGCCATGTCTTCCCAGGCCGTCTCTGATCCAGAAAGCACAGATATGAAACCAGAATGCTTCGTCTCACCACGTTATACCAAAAAATACAAGTCCAAGCAGGTATTCTGGGCACGGCTTGATGGCTGGGGATGGGTGGCTCCAGGGATTGCGTGGGGTGAGGCTGATTCGAAGCAGCGTTTGGAAACCACACAGTAGAATCACCTTGCAGTACTCATTTGTCCCTTTGATATTTATCAAGAGGCCTTTTCTTCAGAATGAACACCCGGACAGGGCTCTCGGCACTTCTTCCAAGTACACACCTACACCCACACCGCCTCCTAAGTCACTCATCATGTTCTCTTCCTGATAACACTCTCCCTGAAAGTCTGTTCAGAGTGAGAAAGGAAGGTTTCTAAGGGCAGGACGTTACTGCCTGCATCTTAAAATAACAGTGTCTTCCTGCCCTCTTGGCCTGGGTGCCTTTCCTTCCTCTCCACCTCATTCCTTGTCCACTGCTCAGCCTACCCATCCTCGGGACATAGTCTCCAGAGCAGTTGGCTGGAGCTAACTCACCGCAGCACAGAGACACCAAGACCTTCCTGCACTGCTCTGCCCTTGTGGCTCAGGATCTGTCCCCAGAGCTCTCCACAGCACGTCTGCATTGAACAGTGACCGTGAAACGTCTGAACGTGGCATAAGAGCCAATGATGGTGAAATGATGATGATTCAGTAAAAGCGAGGGTGTTTTCGTTCTCCGGTCAACTGAAACCTTTCTCTCTTCTTGTGTTCCCAGCTGGCTGCTCGGATTCTGGAAGCCCACCAAAATGTATCCCAGATGCCTCTCGTGGAGGCCAAGCTGCGTTTTATTCAAGCATGGCAGTCCCTTCCCGAGTTTGGCTTATCCTACTACATTGTAAGGTAATCAACCTGTTACAGCGATGTCAAGCTGCCATAATGTGTTCACGGTCAGTGATTTGCAGGAAGTTCTTTGACTCTCTGTTCTGGAAATATTCTCTATGTTTTTTCCTCCACGGACCTTTTTTAATTCTAGTAACTCCCGTGCGGGTGGTTTTTTCTACAGCAGCAGCACTCGGTAGCTCCATTCCTGGAGCAGACTCTCCATTATGTCTGCCTTCATACGGACCTGTCGGGCTTTGCCTGAAGAAACGTATCACTGAGATTAAACCCTTACTGCCATAAACTCACTGAAATGTAAAAAAACTGCACGTCTTGTTGGTGTTCTCAGGTTTGCAGTATTTTTGTTCGCTCCAACTCTTGCTCGTTGCATTGATCGGATTTTATGATCCGAGTTTTTGGATTTTGGATCAGATTTTATGGTAAAATGCTTTTTGGTGAGCATCATTTCTTTGGTGTTTCATGAAGAAAACACGCTGCCTTTTTTGGGTGAATCTGGAAGAGCAGTCAGCACAAGAAAGGTCCTGTTGTGTTCACAGCACTTTCCCTGGACGCACGCCTTGATTGCGGCAGGGTTCTGACCTGCGTCCTTTTCCCTCGACAAAGCACCAGAGAACCTGAAAAGTGCTGACACAGCCGTACTTGGAGGCATCGTCCTTAGTTTGTGCTTAACACCTTTTCCAGGGCTACTTAAGATTCATCTGCGGTAGAACAGAAGGAGCAGGGAACCGTTCTCTGGCACAGAGGCCAGCTGGCATAGGACAGCCCACGTCTGTACTATTCAACTCTGACTTCCCAACACCCAGTAGCCTCATGTGAACTGCCAGATCACATGGGTATGGGATGTTCCAGCTCCTGAGCCATACCTGGGAGTCACTGAAGAGAGCACTGCTTGCCTGCAGCCAGAATTCTGCCTGGGCCTCTTCTCGCAGTTGAAGAGCGCGCGAGCTCAGTGCCTGGGAACGTTCCCTCTCGCTATTTAATCTACTGACACAGGTACAGATGTTTCACCCCATCTGTCAGCATTAATTCTTTTAAACAAACAAACCCAGCGCCTAAACTGCATAACCAAAGCACCTGATGGTGAATTTCTACAACCTGATGGGCAGTATCTCAGCAGCGGCATTAAGGAAGGCACAAATTGTGGTCCGGGTCGCATTCTCACCCGAAGGGCCAGCTCCGTTTAAGGAGAGAATGTTCAGAAACAGGATCAAAAATACTGAAAATATTAACAGCAGTCAGATGAAATTTCTTCCAGCTTTGCAGCATGAAGGCAGAGGGAGTGTCTTTACCAGAGTAAACTTTTCCTAGCTATTCCCAACTCAGAAATTTCTGTCCCCCCAAAGTTCTGATCCTTTTGTCTTTATGTTTCATCTCTAATCAGAAGAAAGTTGAAATGTTAAAATATCTCAGTATTTTTGTAACGTGATTTATACTCGGAAACATGCACATATTGCTAACAGGTGTTTTGGCAAGTTAATGATGATATGGAATATAAAACACTACATCTGTTTTGGTACACTTATATAATTCAGGTGAATAGAAGAACATGTTTCCAGGTTAGTGAAATGAAGCAAGGAAAATTATTGTTGACACTTTTCCAGTAAAAATATAATCAAATTCGTGCATTTTGGCAGAATGGTATTTTTTAGCCAAAACCAATGAATTGTAAAGGTTTCAGCCAGCTCTACCTGCCCAATTAGTCCCCATCTCACCATGTTTCACTGGCCTACATCTTTGTTTTCTAGCAGATGCTGTCCTAAAGGAGGGTCCAAGCTCTCCTCAGTGCTGTGACTTTGCCCACATTTTCTGCCCTTTCGGATGAAGGCAGGTGAAATGTTTCCTGAGACAGAAATCGCTGCAAACCTGGTCTCCTCAAAGGCTTTGTTGGTTTGGGGTTTTTTTTCAGGTTTAAAGGAAGCAAAAAGGATGATGTGCTTGGGGTGTCCTATAACAGGCTGATCCGAATAGATATAGCCACGGGGGATCCTATCACAACGTGGAGGTTCTCCAACATGAAGCAGTGGAATGTAAACTGGGAAATACGCCAGGTAAAACTGGAAGGACTCTTTGCGTTCAGTCACTGCATGTCAGACACTGGAGGATGCTTTCAGAAAATCTTTTTAAACCTCAGAGCGAAAAGATTTTGAATATGTTGTGACATGTTATTCAATAAGCTGTCTAAAATCTTTCTGAATGGAGTCTGTAGTCAAAATTCAGAAACTAAAAAATCTCCAGTTTAAAAGGTTCCTACCAAACTTATTCTTTGTGAGTTGCCCTTGATTTTGGTGGGATGAAATACAGAGACTCAAAGGTAGATTTACCGCTCTGTCACAGTAAAGTCTATTTTAACTCTGCATAGCCTGGCTCATGCATCATCCCCTAAACTCTGCTCATTGAGTCTCTCTTAGAGGCTGAGGATACAGGAACCCAGTTTGTCTTTCAGATCCCAGGCTGAGACTGCAAGGCCATGGTGCGAGCTCCTGTGCTGATGTGTGGCCCTGAGAAGGAGGTTCCGTTGCGTGACTTACACCGGGGTGCTCCTCACCCCGATAACAGCTGCTCAGTGGGGCCAGCTGTGGCCCAGCAGTCCTCTGGAGAGTTTGGGTTGGAAAGCTTGGAGCCAGCTCTGTAAATTGTAGATTTCTGAGGTAGAACTAGTGTGACCTGATGTAAATTCAAGGAGACCGGAAACTGTTGCAGTTTACAGTGTTTTCCACATCCACCTGTAGGAGCCAGGAGAGATCAGATCCAATCCCTGGTACTCTCCTTGCACCACTCCCTGAGCCTGGAATGCCGGGTAGAGCTGCTGGGTTTGCTTTAAATCCCTCCCCAAAAAAGGCAGGACCCACAGTGAGTAATTAACCCCGGTTTGCTGGGGTTTAGAACTGACAGTAGCTGGAAATTAACACGTGGCCCCCAAAAGCAGATTTAAGGCCAGCACAGGACAGTGAACAGTATGAAACACTGTTGGCTGAGCGTACAGCGCCCCGAGTGTTGTTCCTGCTCTCCTCAGTGTTCCCTTTACACGCCGTAAGGAAAACTTGTTGCAAGCATGGATTTGGTGCGGCCGACACCAGGCACGAGGTTCTGACCGCGAGAGGGCACTGCCCTAGCAGAAAGTCCAGAATGGAGCAGCCAAACACTCCCGACGTCCAACAGACCCAGAAACCCTTCCACGGGGTCTGTGGTCCAGCCGTGCTCTCACGCTTCATCTTTTCTCCCAGATGCAGCTTATCTCCGTTCCTGATTTTTCCATATCTGTTTCCTTTAGGTTGCAATCGAGTTTGATCAGAACGTGTCCATCGCCTTCACTTGTCTGAGCGCAGACTGCAAAATCATCCACGAGTGTATTGGGGGCTACATCTTCTTGTCAACCCGCTCCAAAGACCAGAATGAAACACTGGATGAAGATCTGTTCCATAAATTAACTGGAGGTCAGGAATGAGGTGAAGTCTTCCCTCCGCCTGCTTCTCCCCACAGCTAAGAGGACCACAGCCTAGACAAAACCCTCTCTGATTGTCAATTGCTGGCTAAAAAATATATTGTAATGTCAGTATGTCATGGAATATGACTGGACTACTTACATTTTTTGTTAAAATATCGAAGCCAAGGTCACTGGATGCGGTATGGCAACTCCATCATCAGCACTAGGAAAATTAAGTTGTCTTTGTTCTCCTTTTGTACAGCCAGAAGTTTTTAAATAAACAGTGTATAGCCACTGGGCATTCTTGAATCTCGTATTTTTAATGGCAACAGCCTGTTTAAGCACCCAGAAAAGTAACCTGAGGCTATTGTCCAGCAAATTTTCTTTGGTACCACCATGCAACTCCCACTGTTAAACTGGCCATTGGTAAGAAGGCCAGCATTTAACAGACCTGGCGCGGAATAAACGCACATTTTTAAGGTGTGTTACTCACCTGACACTTGCACCGGGAACAGAAAACATTCCATCAGTGTTCCGAAGGCCTGCAGACTGAGCTATCACAACCCAAGTAGTGATGACACAGCTGTTCAAAAATGTAGCACCCCTGGCTACCTTCACTGAAGCAGTTCCCTCAGAGCCAGAGGAGCTACCAGACACCTAGAGCAAAGCATTAATCTTGGCAAAACTGGATTCAAAACTCTGACCTTTTGAGGAACTTTGTTATTTTCCAGGTTGAAAAAGAATGCTTTTGGTACTATTTTAAATTATTGGCTAGTTAAAAAGGCCCGTGAGTGGGGGCCTTACTATTTTCTGTCCCTGGTACTCTGTTTCACTGTGACATCTAACTAAAGCAAACTTGCTCCTGAGTTAG